TGGGTGGCTGGGTGGCTGGGTGGCTGGGTGGCTGGGTGGCTGGCTGGCTGGCTGGCTGGCCCCTGATGTCCTCCTCCTTCCTTTTCTCGTTCCGTGATCCCTCTTGCTTTTTTTCTCCTATTTATCCTCTCTGCCTGCCAGCCCCGCCTATTTCTCTCTCCTGCCTCGCTATTGGCTGTCCAGCTCTTTATTAGTCCAATCAGGTGTCTTAGGCAGGCACAGTAACACAGCTTTATGGAATTAAACAAATGCAACATAAAAATTATGCAATACATCTTTGCATCATTAAACAAATATTCCACAGCATAAATGAATGGAACACATCTTAAAATAATATTCTACAACAAAAGGCACTCTCCAGAAAGAGGCAAAAATATTTTCAACTCATATTTGAAGACTGTCACTGATTGTAAAACCGGACATAAGAAAACTACATGCCAATATTCCTCATGGTCATAGATACAAATTATTTACTTTTGAATCAGTTCTGCACTATATACCAAAGGTCTTCCTTGGTCTCTGTGGACAGCCTCAAGCTCTTCTAAGTGGTTGTGGAAACTGCACCAGTGCCTGGTCATGAGTTGGACACGCCTAGGTTGAAGTCTGGCTCCTGACTTTGGACAAGCTCTCCAAACCCACTTCATCACCGCTAAGTAACAGTAACTGCTTCGCAGCATCCTTGTGAGGCTTAAATAAGGACTTTAATGCAAGCTGCTGTGTAGAGCACCTCACACAGGTAAGTATTCAATAAACGGGATCATTCTTATTGAAATTACTGTTCCGATCACACAACTGTGAGCAAACGAAGGTGCGCTGTGTAGGAGACGGCCATCTTCTAGTCATCTCTTTGGTCCCACTGCCTGGCATAATTAGCTGGCAGTGGAAGAATCTTACATTTCTTTTAATGAATACATTTATAATCCCTCAAATCTCTACACTATATAAATCTCTCCTTCATCCTCACAGCCTCCTTCTACAAAAACAAAACAAAAAGCATTACTTTAAAATTTAAAGATGTCAGCACAGTTGAGAGAAAAATAAGTTTAGTGGTCCTGGTCTTATTTTTGCTGTTATTTCTAAAAACATACATTCAATAATAAGTCTATAACACCGTCAAGAACGTCCCAACTTACCCCGTATAGTACCAAATGTGAGGTTATCTATCTATTGGAAACCTTAAAGGGTGCTGAGGGCCAGTTTTCCAACCTGTCAGCTTCCTTCCCACTAGGCCTTTCACTCAGCTCTTGTGGCTAAGCTGTGTTCCACAGCATGGCATTTAAAATAGCGATAATAATTTTTTGAAAGATAGGGCACAGCATGTTTCATTCTGAAAACACGCTCCTCAGAAATTCTGGAAAAAAAAATTTAGGATAACCAAGGAAAATATTGCCACACGTTGTTTTTAAAAACTATTTGCTTTAAAAGTTAACTAACCATTTAAAGTTTAACTTAGACTTCAAAGAAGAACCAAAATATGTGTAGGCAACGTTCAGGCTGGTGAATGGGGAGCGGAGGGGGAAGGGACGGTCATTAGTCCACAATATTGAACCTCATAGCTAAAATGCAAAACGGTTTTAAAAAAAAAAAAAAAAAAAAAAAGAAAGAAAGAAAGAAAAAAATACCAGACCCCGCCAGATAACAGCAGCATCATTCATCCGCTCTCACTCTTATCCTTCTAAATATCACTGTCCTCTGAACACACATTAATGAATGGGTTTAATATGCCAACAGCGCTGAGCTACTTGAAAATCAGCAGAAATACCTAGAAGTTCACGGGGAAAGGCAAAAGGCCTTTTAAGGACGGGCTCGTCGGGTCTCTCATCCACCCTGTGCCACACGGACGGTTCTGCACCGAGAGGCAGCGCCCTCGGAGGCCCGGGCCCCGCGAGGTGGCGATGGGGCGGGGCCGCGAGTGCGGTGGCTGCGGGGCCCGAGCGCAGCACCCAGGCCCACGGCTCACCTGCGCTTCCCCAGCCTTCCCGACGCACCCTGCCCGGTTCAGCGACCACCCCGGAACCCCCTGCAGACAAAGAGCCCCATTAACGCTCTCGGGTCCGCTCCCGGTTTATCAGTCGGTCGCCGCGCTCGGGACCGCCGGGCTTTGTAGTTCTCGGGACCGAGTCACCCAGCCGCAGCGGCGAGCCACCGAACTACAAGGCCCATGATGCCCCGCGACCGAGGCGCCTGTCCCCGCGGCTCTCGGACTTGCCCTCCGGGGGAGCGGCCTAGTGTCCGGCCGCTAAGGGGGATGCGGACTGGGACTGCCCACCTGGGCGCCGCAGCCCGGCTCTCCGGGTCACGCCGGGCGCCCGGGCTCACCACCTAGGTCCTGTAGGTCAGGGCTGTCAAGAGGTGGGGCGCCCGCCAGCCGCCGCCCGGAGTCCGTTAGTTCGCGGCCTGGGCGGGGAGGCGGCGGCGCACGGTTGCCATGGCAGCCGCGGCCAGCGCTGCGGGGAGGGTGTGAGGTTGAGTCAGCGCCGGGAGGAGCCTGGGGAGCCGCGCTGTGGGCAAGGATGCGCAGGGGCGAGGGTTGCAAGCCCGGAGACCTCACCTGGCGCGACGGCGAGCCCCAGACCCCAGGCAGGGCGTGCTGCACCTGCCACCTTCGCGCAGGACGTGGGCGGCGGCGGCGGCCGAGCGCTCGGCTCCGCGCTCTAAGGACGCGACCTCGCTGAGAGCCAGCCTGGTGCACTGGAGGCCGCCCGCAGCCCCCTCCCGCCGTGCTCCGGGGAGCGGCGTCGGGGCGAGCCATTGCCGAAGACGCCGAGTGCACACAGCCTGCGGGAATATTCGGGACTCGTCGGAACTCGTAAATGGCACTGAACCCCACCCACCGAGTTCGAAGCTATAATGCGCCTTAGGCAGTCGTTCGCCGACTCTCCGGGATCGTCGGTGTAGAATGGGCCGGGATTAACAACCTGGGTTCCTCACAAGGCGTCCAGGTTAACTGCTTGGCAGCTGAGGACTCGGGCACCTTCCCTATAGTCTGCAAAACAGAGATATCCCTCTGTAAGAAACTTCAGTACTGAAGAAGCAGTATCAAAGTGTGACACCTCACAAGTAGCTTTCAGATACTAGTTAATCCATCCACTGGTGATAAAAGTCCAAATATTTGGCTAGCTGTTGAAGGTGGGTTGGCTGAGGGGGAGGTTGTCCTGATTAAAAAGTGCTGTATCTTGCTAAAGATTTAGGTCAGGGAAGTGTCTGTGGTTGTCAGAACTCGTGGAATGGGACAGTTAAGATCTGCACGCTTTACTGTATTCAAATTTACCTCAAAGGGGATGTAATGTCAGAGCTCTGATAGAAACCCTAGGGATATTCCATGCCCAATCTCCAGCTTTTATAGATGAGGAAATTAAGAAATTAATAAAGGAAGAGGTGAATTACTGGCCTTGATATTTTCCCATAATGTCTTTTGAGAAATTAGGGCTGGGAATGTAGCTCATTTGTTAGTCCTTATCTAGCCTTCAGGAGCCATGGGATTGATCCCCAGCACCACACGCTGGCACATACCTGTAACCCCAGCACTCAGGAGAATGCAGGCCAGAGGATCGGGTGTTCAGGATCAACCTCAGCTACACAGAGTTAAAGGCCAGCCTGGGGTATGTGAGAGCCTGTCAGAGAGAGAAAAAAGGACGGATAAAGTATGATGGAGCTGGGTGTAGTGGCTCACAACTACCTGTAATTTCAGAACTTGGGAGACTGAGGCAGGAGGCTTACCTCAAATGTGAGGTCAACCTGGGCTACAAGGTGAGACTGTCTGGAAAAGGTTGGGAAGAACAAAAGGGGGTTGAAAGAGCACGCTGCCGTTTGTCAGAGTCACCTGTCACGGGGTCTGGTTAAAACTGGTTCAAGTCTCTTGCCCACCTCTGTGGAGATGCCCAGTCTAAGACTGTGCTGTCCATGAGGGACACAGTCTCGGGGTCACCTCTGCTTCAGAGTTCTTTGTCTGACCCTCTCTCTCCCTCCCTCCTTCCTCCCCTCTCCCTCTCTCTCCCTCCCTCCCTCCCTCTCTCTCTCCCTCTCTTCCTCTCTCCCTCCCTCCCTCCCTCCCTCTC